ATGTTGTCTTATGCCCATACAATATACTGAGAGAAACTAAGCAGATACACAGGATATTCCATGTAGCCGTTCTGACTAAAAGCCCCAACGAACCAGCTAACTGCTAGCATCAGTTGCCAGACATAACTGAGCAAATTTTCAAATGATTGCAGTCCTTGCAACAGAGTCATCATAGCCTCTGAGCCACCCCTGCTGACACTGTGTGGTAGCTTGCAACAGGCTGTCCCTGCTGAACTCTGACCAAATTTCTGTTTATAAGCAAAATAAATGATTGTTGTTGCCCTAAGGTGCTAAATTTTGGGGTGGTTTTATGTAGTAATAGACACCTGGAACAAACATCATACTATTACATGCTATAATACAGGTGGTCAATTAACTAATTAATTAACAAATTTATTACATGCCTATTAGTAGTCAGGTACTGAGTTGGGAAGGCTTTTTAAAAATTTTTGCATCTGAATCTCTCTGTCACCCAGGCTGGAGTGCAGTGGCACGTTCACCCAGGCGGAGTGCAGTGGCCACCCCAGTGTTAATGTGCTAGGCTCCAGCGATCCTTCTGCTTCCGCCTTCCAGGTAGCCAGAACTATAGGCGCACACTACCACATCAGGCTGTCAGGAAGGCTTTTAAGAAGTGAGATCTAAGCAGAGGTTTAACGAAGGTCTAGGATTTACACAGAGTAAGAGCAGGAAGTGCAAAAAAGAGTTGCTTGTTTGAAGATATAAAAAAATATGGGGCATTTAGACAACTGCCAGTAGTTAAAACAAACAAACAAAAACTACAGTAGAGGGTATGGGAAAAAACTGTAAAGAGGTAAGGTACTCAGGGGCCAGTTCATTAAGGAAGTAATAATAAAGAATTAGGGTTTTATCCTGAAGGCAAGACTACTCTGCACTTGTAATCATGCAACTAATTTGATTTTTTATTTAATGACTATCTTCCCCACAGGCTGTATCACAAACAAGTTTAAATCACATGCGGCTTTTATCCCTATATTTCTCGCATCTAAAATGGTACCCTGGCACACATAAGGCGTTAGTAAATATTACTGAATGACTGAGTGGTTCACAAGAATTTTAAGGGAATGATATAATCAGATTTGTGTGTTAGAAAAACATTCAGGCAGTAGAGTGGAGAATGGTTTGTAGATAACAGGTGTATCAGTCAGCTTGGGCTGCCATAACAAAATACCATAGGGTGAGTTACTTAACATAGATTAATTTTCTCACAGTACTGAAGGGTAGAAGTCTGAGGTTAGGGTGCCAGCATGGTTAAGTTTTGGTGAGGGTTCTTTTACTGGCTTAACAGACAGCTTCTTTCCCACTGTGTCCTCAGACGGCAGATAAAGGGAGAGAGGGCAAGCAATCCTGTGTCCTTCTTATAAGGGCATTAATCCTATCACCAGAGCCCCCAACCTAAATACCTCATCTATACCTAATTATATTCCAAAGGCTCTATCTCCACAGTAGGGGTAAGGGCCTCAACATATTAATTTTGAGGATACAATTCAATTCAATCCATAGCAGCATGAAAGGAGAACACATAGCAGAAGGTAAATGTAATAAGAGGCCAACAAGATGAGGGGGTGTGAACTACAGTAATGACAGTGAGACTGGAAAGGGCTAAATTTAAGAAATATTAATCATTCCTACTTGAGTTGGAATTATTAAACTGTTAATAGCCTTCTTTGCATATTCCTTTTCCTGAACCTAAAATTATAGACTTTTTTCCCTGGAGTAACTATTTGCGTGCTAGTATCTTTTTTTTTTTTTTTTTTTT